ATGTTCCACAGGTTCATTCCACAAACATCGGAAATATCAAGTGGAGCAATCCGTCCAAGCAGAATCGACGCCAAGAAGGAAGAGACAAGGGAAATTCGAGATGTCCTCTTATATTGTTCCGGGTATTTCCGCTGGAATCGAAGAATTTGGGGGCCAGTAAATCTCTAAAATTGCAGTATCCTCATCAGCCAACTAAGTCACAAATTGTATGGCTCGTCCGATGGCACAATGAGCACTTACATGATGCGCCTTGCTCCCCGTTGCCTCTGCGAGCGCTTCCGGACCTCCCAGCAGCGCATCGAACTCGTCACATTCCTTCTGCGTACTGGCATCCTGCCAATTGGGGCTGAACGGATGAGAGAACGCTCCCTCAAGCTGTTCTTCCAGCGTCTTGTCCTTATTCAGGCTTTGAAGCAGCCGTTCGGCATCGTGGCTCCAGTAGACGCTTCCGTGCTGTTGCCCCGCACCACTGACAGCCTTGACGCGGCGGAAATCCAGCCCCTGGGCCTTGAGCGTGCTCAATACCCCATCCAGCGCTTGCAGCCACAAAGCGACGGGGGCGAACACTTCGTGTTCTGCCTCATTCGTCATGACCCCCTTCTTAATGTTGAACCCACGCGAGTGGGCATCGAAATCGAACTTGGCCTCATATTCGACCTTCAGATCCGACGAGACCACGAGACCCTTGAGCTGCTGAGTCGAGAGGTCGAACCCAATGTACAGGGGACCCCCGTTGGACGCCATTGCCGCTGGAGAGGGAGTGAGGTCCGAAGCTTGCCTGTCTCTCGAGCAAGGACAGATTAGTCGAGTACGAGCGAGACAGCGACAAAGTAGACAAGAGTTAGGGAGAGTCAAGATCGCGTCTAAAAAAAGGACACCAAGAGTGAAGGTCACGAGGTACAAATTCTAGGCCCGGTGAGAGTGTCGAGAACCGAGAAACGACGAGATGGATCCCGATGGAATGGCTAAATTACCCTGAGCCTGTTTTCTGTACTACTGACTGCTCGTCCTACAAGGGATGATTACGTACAGGTACATATACCCCGGCTCCGCTAATGCTTATCATGTCACGAAAGGCAAAATGAAAATAAATAAGGTGCTCTTGAGATGACAATGCCTGGGCTGAAGCTGCTGCAAATGTCCGAGAGAACCATTACTGGTAACGAGATCTGGACCAGCGAACGCGCGGAACGGTGATGTCAGGCGGGCATGTCGGCGGGCCCCACGTCCCGGGAAAGCAGCCGATGAATTTAACCGGCCGCAGGGAAAGTAGCCCGCAAGCTTGCTGTCGGAGAATTTCAATACGCATTCACTCACATCTAGAAGGCTCTTAAAAAACTCGCAGTAGAAGATCTAGCCAATTCCTAGAAGTACCTGCTGTATTTCTCTGTATCAATGTAATGTACAGTACACACATGGTTCATTGAACATTGGAAACGGACCAGCCAAATTCCAGGAAATTTCGGACCCCGTTGAAAAGCGGCATCGAGCCGGTTGTTTGTTTCGGTAGGCCGAAAATAATAACACACCACGTGTAGCGGGACATGGAAAATAACCGAAGGACACCACACCCAAGTCGTGGTACTCGTCCTTCCCAATGTGAGGAATGGCTGCCAGACGGTGGCGGATACATTGTACAGTACCTGCTCTGCCCTGGCGCTCTATAAATGATTAGGTTTTCTGCGTCGTCTTTATCTATCGACTTGAAACGGGTATCTGGTTTGGGGTTGATGATTCTATCTCCGTGTCTAAGCGGGTTGAAAACCGAGAACACCCAATATCATGCCTCAACGCCGTTTATGCACAATGCCCTCGTGGTCATGGGAGTGATCGTGATGGTTAGCGTCATGGTGGTGGTCGTGGTCGTCGTGGTCGTGGTCGTCGTCATGGTCGTGGTCGGTTTCTTCCGGTTGAGGGCTACCTTGCGGGTTGAGTTCTGGGGGAATGAACTCTTCCGTGAAATTGATCCCCTTCTCTTCTTGGGGAACAAATCGAATTTTGACTCGCCGTACGCCTCGCACACGGGAACCAACTCCTTTCCGTACGATCTCCTCAATCTGACGGGAACGATGGATCGGCCAGGAACCTGGCACTGCCACCTCGACCTCCATGAGATAGTTCTGACCGGATTTCATGCCTTGGATGTCCCGAATTTCAACCTCCTCTCCGTTTGGAGCTTCAGAGAGGGCCCTGGACGCGGCTTTGCGCACAGATGATTTGATCTCGTTGTCCACCGTGGTATCTGCCAGCTCCAACAGAGAAGCCCTTGTGTTCTCCCATCCCGCTTGGATAACCATTAATGAGATGATCAGACCACCAACAGGATCGAGCCATGACGCATCGCTGAAAAGGTGGGTACCCCCGATTGTCACCAGAGCGACAATGCTGGTGAGAGAATCTATCCGATGATGGACAGCATTCGAGGCCAGGACGGAGGACTTGCGTTCTTTTGCAATCTTCATCGCTGTAAGACAAAGGGGAAAAAAAAGATATTAGCATCTTCTCCGTATGGTTAGAATATGCATAGAAAGAACTTACTTGCCCGATATAGCCATTCCTTGATAACAATTGAGCCTGCTGCTAGCCATGCCGCGTTGACATTGGGGCCCAGAGCTTCCACCGCGTGGCTGTGTCCGTGGGAGTGGCCGTGGAGAAGAAGTCCTGAGTGAGCTAGAAGCTCGAACGCCTCGGGAAAGAACTGGGACAGAAGGACCTCTCCCGCGTTCAAGCCCATGAACACACCGCCGCAGAGCAACAGTGAGCTGACCCCGAGGGCACCGAGACTCTCTATTTTGCCATAGCCATTGGGAAATCTCTCGGTGGGAGGCTTGAGTGCCCAGGCCACCGTTCCCAGCGTCATCAGGTCGGAGACCATATCTGTAAGTGCATGGTATGCATCGGCCACCAGGGCTTGAGAATGGAAAACGTAGCCTCCGACAAACTTCCCAATTGCCATTGCCACGTTCACTGCCAAGCCAATGCGGGTGATACGCACTCCCGGATCCTTCTTATTCTTCGAAATCAGGTAGACGTTATCATGATGGGGGTGGTGGTGGTCATGCCCGTGGCCGGCATGACCCCTCGTCTGAGTCGCCATCAGCGGAGAGACAGTCGGGAGGTGTAAGGAGGAAAGGCGTGGAAAGTCGGGCGATATTAATTGGGGAGCAGACACGCGACGGTGGGTGCGCGAGGCAGCAGCCGTACGAAGCACCCGAGACTGGCGTAGCTGTAGAGTCGTGTGACGGTTGCTCAGACCGCGGAGGCTGTAAAGAGCCGGCCGTAGCTGGCTCCTGCACCGCAGGGGCTGTGTTAGCGGCATGAGGACGCCAAGCAGGGCTCTGACACACGGTCGAATCTATAGGGGCCGAACGGGACAGGATGCTCTTTTGAGTCTCTCGTGCCCGAATGGCAGGAAGCCCATAGTGATCCAGCGCCAGACGCAAGCGAGGGTTGTTGCAGGTCGGCTCCGATAAAAATAGACGTCAGGCGTGACTGAACAGAGCAATGCAGGCCAAACATCGCTGCGGGAGGACTCGAGCCGACATGCGCTGACCTTCGGAGCTTGGCAGCCTTCGACAGGGCCACCACCCTCGAGGTACCCCACCAGGCCCAGGCCTTCTTTCGGGGCAGATAACAGTCGAACCATGCTAGAGCGCGCCGTAGGAAGGGCTTTGAGTTGGAAGAGCCTCAATTTCGATAGACAGTTTCGCAGCAATCCTGTCCAGAAGTATCCACAGGCGCCTTCAAGGAACTTACTTTTACCTTGCGACATCTAAAAGAATAGGTACTATACCACCTTCACGTCTCCTACAGAAATACTCTCATGCCCGTTTTTGCACGCTGTCACGTGCTTTTACAGAATTAGGTGAGCATGCTACAAGCTGGAAAGGATTTGGCGAGAATTCTGGCTTATGGTTAAAGGAATATGGGTAGGAAGTGCGCATCGAGAGTGGATGATAAAGACTCCCCAACATTCAAAGAAAATCTGGTGAGGAACATGGTGTAGAGCCAAGTAGAAGGTAGATAATCAAAAGCTGACATCATTCTTGCCTCCGCGAATAAGCACTCTGGAATTCTCTTGGCGTTCCTTCTACCATCTCCCCTGGTCTATCTTCCTGCCGTGCTCCGATGACGCTTAGGATCCCCTTCACGGCCCCATTGCCGCCAGCAATTGTCTTCCCCAGCAGCGCGAGGACCATTTCCGGTGCCATTGAAGCCGTCGCTGATTTCTTCTCCGCGCCTCCGTCGCCATTTCTCCAGGGAGTCGATGTGGGACGAAATGACCAGACTGTTCTCCTTACCGGCGCCGGGATATCTGTAGCATCGGGCTTGTCCGACTATCGAGGAGAAAACGGCACCTACACCCGGAACAAATCATACAGGCCCATTTACTACCATGAATTTGTAACTCGGCATGAGTCACGCAAGCGATACTGGGCCCGAAGCTTTGTGGGATGGCCGGGTCTCGTGAAAGCAAAGCCGAATTCGACGCATTGGGCCATCAGGGACTTGGCCAGGAAGGGCTATGTCAGCTCCGTTGTGACACAGAACGTCGATTCCTTTCATCCAATCGCGCATCCAGACCTCCCGACGATTGAACTTCACGGCTTCCTCCGATCCGTCGTCTGTATCAATTGCAAACGATTGTTCCCTCGAGACGATTTCCAGAAGTCCTTAACTGAGTTGAATCCCGCATGGGCGGAATTCCTGGATGAGATGCTGGCATCCGGGGCTCTAGACACAAGCAATCCTGAGGAACAGCGGCGCAGGGGACTCAAGCTTAACCCTGACGGAGATGTGGACCTCCCCCAAGCTCCATACTCGAAATTTCGATATCCTGCATGTCCTCACTGCCTGGAAGATCCGCCCTTGCTAAAGGACGGCACCCGAGGTAGAGTCGAGGTTGAAAGCGACGGAGCATGGTCCCCGTCCTCCAATGCAGGAATCCTGAAGCCAGCAGTCATCATGTTTGGAGAATCCACCGATCCAGCGGTCCGGGCAGCTGCGGAGGAGGCCATCGATGATGCTGGGAGGCTTCTGGTCCTGGGCAGTAGTTTGGCTACCTATTCGGCGTGGAGGTTGGTTGAACGAGCATACAAGAGGGGCATGCCTATTGGGATCATCAACGTCGGTGGCGTACGTAACGAATCCTTGATCTTTGGAAGCCTACAGGGAGAGAGGTATATACAGAACCATGTACGATGTGACCACCGGTCTGAGGCAGTGCTTCCCGAAGTGGCGTCTAGATTACCCCCAATCAGATAGATATATTGTCGTATCCCATCCAAATAATAGATAGAAGACCCGAGTCTCCAGTCCGTATTTCACATTATGAGCCGGTGAAGCGCCCTGGTGAGCGCGGTTCACAGGCCCTATGAACCCAGGGATGTTGAAGCATGATTTAATAAAGACCCTTGTTGGCATGGGGCAATTCAAGACAGCCCTCGATACGGTCCTTACAGTCGCCACGTAAGGGCGCATAGCCCGAGTAGACGCTATGAAGGCATCGGTGGCGGTGATGGGTGATGGGCGATGGCCGGATGCCGGCACGCGATTGGGAGACGATTAAAACGCCGTGCCTATTTTTGCTGCCATGCCTTAGGCGCGGCAGTGGGCTTCCATCCGCGCTCTGCACTCCTTGGGACCCAGTTGGCGCCAGTCAAGGCGCGGGGCTCCAGCAGGCTCGATTATTTCGTCGGACATGGACAATCAGAGCATAAAAGCATCCAGACCGGACAATTACCTGGAGATTGCTTCGTCTCTCGTCGCGCCCAGCTCGTTCCTCTTCCCTTCCCACGCAACAACCCCGCCGAATCCCCCGCTTAGGCCCGCCAGAACGCGATCCCGCACGATGGACAAGGCACAGACACCAAGCTCTTTCCAGCAGCTGGAAAAGGTACGCGATCTGCTCCTGGCATCGATCTCCGGTTCCGGTGCGGTCTAACTAACTTGTTCACAGCTTGGTGAAGGTACCTATGCGACCGTATGTGGACAAACAGACCTCTTATCCCAACCCTTCGACTCTGTCCACCTTCTCGTCTCTTCCTTCGACTAACACAACGCCCTGCAGGTCTTCAAAGGCCGGAACCGCCAGACGGGAGAGATGGTCGCCTTGAAGGAGATTCATCTTGATTCCGAGGAAGGCACACCGTCAACAGCCATCCGAGAGATCTCCTTGATGAAAGAGCTCAAACATGAGAACATCGTATCGCTCTACGACGTGATCCACACGGAGAATAAGCTGATGCTCGTTTTCGAATACATGGACAAGGATTTGAAGAGATATATGGATTCAAGAGGGGACCATGGGCAACTAGACTACGTCACAATCAAGTCGTTCATGCATCAGCTGTTACGGGGCATTGCATTCTGCCATGAGAACCGGGTCCTCCACCGAGATCTGAAACCCCAGAACCTCCTCATCAACAAGAAGGGGCAGTTGAAACTGGGTGATTTCGGTCTGGCACGAGCATTCGGCATTCCCGTCAACACGTTTTCCAACGAAGTTGTCACTCTCTGGTATCGCGCTCCGGACGTCCTCCTGGGCAGCAGGACGTATAACACCAGCATTGACATTTGGTCCGCCGGGTGCATCATGGCAGAAATGTACACAGGACGCCCGCTGTTTCCAGGGACGACCAATGAGGATCAACTGCAGAAGATTTTCCGGCTGATGGGCACTCCGTCGGAACGCTCCTGGCCTGGCATTTCTCAGTTCCCCGAATACAAACCCAACTTCCACGTATACGCCACGCAAGATCTGAGACTCATCCTCCCACAGATAGACCAGCTCGGTCTGACCTCCTCAGCCG